CAAAGGTGCATTGCCTAATTCATTTTTTCTACTAGTGCTCCTTCTTGGGCCTTCAGCAAATCCTGAGCTTCCTTGAGCTTATCGTGAGACTTGGAGAACTCCATCTGTTTGGCATTTAGCTCGTTCTGAAGCCGCTGAATCTCATTTTGCACCTCAGTCTGCCTTCTCAGCGACTCCGCTCTGGCAGCGATTGATCTTTGTTTGAATTCCTCAGCCATCATCCGCTGAATTTTCTCTTACCGCTGCTGCATTTCCTTGATCCGAGATTCGAGGCCAGGGATGTCTTCAGCCTCATACTACTTCAGCAACTTGGACCCCTCATCCAAAACAGGGAATATGTATTTTTCCAAGTTCTTGACCATGGTCTCCGAGGCTTCCCTCGATGCAGTAGCTTCTTCCTCAGCAGCTTTGGCCATGAGTTCAGCGAGACCAGTCTCGAGCTTTAGCGTCCTCTTATTTGAACCTTAGCTCCTCGTTCATCTCCACAACCAGAGTGTGGTTCTGAACAGCCTGCGGAGGTAAAAAAAACGGTTAGCAGAAGCATAACAGTTACAAAACAAAAAATATAAAAATAAAAAAGAAGAAAAAGAAGCTTGTGTAAGCGCCAAACGCCTTACCTGCATCAGCAGCTTCTGGGTTTCAACGAAGTGATCTAGAACCCTCACAGAAGGCTCGGCTATTCCAACTGTAGCTCAGAGGGACCAAATCCTTACCCTCTCCGCTTCAGACTTGCTCGATAGGTCCCTGAAGAAGGCCACGGCCGTGTCTCAGTGCACTAGAGAATCTCCCTCGTGCTATCAGGGACATGGAGAAGAAGGGCTGAAGAGAAACCCATGTCAGCAGATTGGAAGGTCTTGAAAGACTGTTTCAGCGAAGGTGAAGGCACTTCCTCGATTCCTTTCTCGCCCTCAGCATCCTTCTTCAAGCCCTCATCATCAAAATCCTTTGGTTCCTTGCCCAGAATCTTCACATCGTCCTCGGGTTGATGCAGCAAAAGTGCATCAATTTCCCTCTGAATATCGTCAGTGAAAGGTCCTTCCCGAGGCGGGGACGAGGAGCGCAGAGGAAGAGTCTTCTCTCTGGATTCAGTCTCTTGAACGTTGACCAATGGTTCAGGAGGAGGGGTTTTCTGCTGAACTTCCTCTTCAGCGGGAGTCTCTAGAGGAGGAGGAGTTCTCTCCTTGGTCTCTTCTATTTTCTCCTCATCTAGCCAAGGCTTCTTCGCCGGAACAGGAGCGGCTTGAAATTGCCCCGGCTTGATAATAACTCTCCTCTTCCTCGGCCCAAACATTTCTTCGTATGAGGATGACTCTAGGACAGGTTAAGTAGGCTTTCTCTCGTCCCTTTCTTCTTCGTCAAACTGCAGAAGAAGGAACAAGGGGGGCAAGGAGCCATATAAGCACCAAAAAAAAACAACAACAAACAAGTCAAGTTTGAAAGTTTACTGAAGTTTTGAGCAGACGCTCGTCTTCACTTCCTTCAACTCCTGGAGCAGTTGTTTCAGCTCGCTCGACAACAGGAGCAGAAGTCCTAGCATCAGCGGAACTCTCAGCAGCAGCAGAGGCACGAGCTGCAGCAGCTTGTTCCTCGGCAGTCAGAACAAAGAAGGGGTCACTCTTCTTCCACCAAGGTTTTTGTTGCTGATACTCAACCGCGCTGACTATTGGAAACCTCTTCTCGTGCAAGCTAAGAGGCCAATCCTTCGAACCAGTGATATTCGGAGTATTGGTGATCGGATTCCTCTCCTGAGTGATCCCGAGCACCTCGTAATCGATTCCCGAGTTCTCTTCGTACAACACTGAAAAGACAAAACAATAGTTAGCTTCGGCGAAGAAAATAAACATTGAAGAACAAAAGAAATAAAAAATAATCCTCGGCCCCAGCCGAGCTCCTTACCGCCATGGTATCTTCGGCTGAGGCCTATGACAGCAAGCATCTTCTCATGAAAGATGTAGTGGCAACAGGGCAGCGAAGTAGTAGGGAGAGTCTTAATTCGGCCAGCAGCCCCGCGCACGGTGGACTGGCCGAAATGTTCCATTTGCTTCAGGTCCGCCTTCGAGAACTCATCAGGACCAATGCTGGCCATTTTGGGATCAAGCTGCCTCAGATACCTCGGCGCACCGAAATAATTTGGGTGTTCTTCGTCTTGGGGTGCCCTTACCCAGATCCATTGACCCCTCCAGTCCTTGTCCGAGGTGTCATTAGGCCAAATCAAAAGGTAACCTTTTTCATCCTCAATCTGCCACCAACCAGGACCATAGTGCTTGTTGGCCTGGACATTCAGGACTAGCTTATGCGTGCAACGGAAGCAATGGACGCTCGGCGTAATCCCGAAAAACAAACACACCCAAAGATACGACATCAGCCTTCGGATGCTCACAGGGGTTAGCTAGCACAACGAGATGTTATACCCATTTAGCACCGAAGTTACAAAAGAATGAAGTGGGAATCGAAGCCTATACTGCAACTGACGGGTGTAAACCTCGATGTAGCCTGGCGGAGGGCGGTGAATCCTTTCATTCAAAGAGGGCATTCAACACCAATACCCATCTTCCTCCATAATTTCATAGAAAATCTCAATTTGCTCGACAAAGTAGAACTCGGCGTCGTTCCCAATCCACCAGCCATAAGGAGGAGACGAAATAATGCCCGCGTTCGCCGCCTAGTCCAGCCATTCCTTTTCCTCAGGAGGTAGAGGCCTAGATGCTGAAGCCACGCTTTGGCCGGAGGTGCTAGCTGATCTCGAAACCCGAGGCGAAAATGTAGTCAAAGGAGCGACACTAATTGCAGAGTCGTTAGAAGAGGCGACGACACCAACCCTAGCCCTAGGATTCTGGTCACTAAGGGGAGGCATCATCGCCAAAGGGCGGTTCTGCCACGCGATCAACTGCGGAACCTCCTCCTCCTCTTCATTACTTGGCTCAGCCTCCACCTTTTTCTTTCCACGATCGCCGCCCATTTTCAAAGATGGTTGCGCGAAAGAGGGAAAAAGGGGGGGGGGGGGTACTCGAAAAGGCAAGAAAATCGAAGAAAATTTGAAGAAAATTACCTTGGTCAAACGCGGAATTTGTCGATCTATAAGTTCGGAGCAACAAATTTCAGTTTTGAGCTTCGGATTGCTGAATATAAGTGAAAAAAGAAAAAGGGTTTAACAGCGATGATTAGCGAGAAGAAATTCGAAATTAGCAAAATGAAATGAGGAGAGAATGTAGGACGAGCGACTTAAATACCATCCAGAAATGGGAATCTTGGGAGTCCACGCCACTAACACCCCTACTAACTCCACTTCAATGCTCCACCTCTCTGTCTTCTTCTCTGATTAACCGCCTACTAAACCATCCAAAGTCCCAATTAACTCCCAACTGTTGTTATTGCCTCAATAACCACAATAATTTAAATGTTAATTAATCATTTGCTTCCCTCCATTTTGCAAGTTAAAACCCAACTCGTCAAACTTCCGAATCGGGTCCGGGGGGCAAGTTGTTTGGGTCTAATTTACTCTAATTGGGGCGGTTCACAAATGATTCAATTACAAAGCCCAAAAGAAGGTTCAACTCTCCCAATACATGCTAAGTCAGTCAAAGGCCCGGTCAACATGGCGAGCCCATTTAACCTCAAGGCCCAATTTATTCATTTGAGTAAGGTATAAAAGTTTTGACTTCTCTCTCTCTCTCTCAATTCATTCAATTCAAGCCTCAAGCATTAACTCTCTTGCATAGCTTTCTCTCTCTAAACACTGTACTGACTTCGGCAATGGAGAGGTCTTCCTCGGCACAACCCCCGAGACTCATTTACGTGTGTTTGCTGTGCAGGAAACCCTCATCCCAGTCATCACTTTGGCTGAGTTCAGTCTTCAGCCCATAAGTAAAGTCCAGATGATAGACCCATTGTTCTCACCCGAAACAGTACCTAATCGATCCTTATACTTGGTATTTATGCTTATCAAAACTAGAAATGTTTACATGCAAACAAACACCAAACATGATATTACCTCTAAATTTAAGTTATGATCCCATTGTATCAAAATAAGTCTTTCAATTTGATCGATATATATGCCATCACGAAATTTTGACAGTAATTACGGTGTAAAAGTAATTGTGCAAACCAAGAAACAGATATATTCACGTACTCGTAGTATATTTTTTATTTTTAATTTTCTTATACAAATAAAGATTGCATTCCTTTGGCATCATATTTGATACACTACTACATCAACACAATCAATGACAAGCTAATCTTACTAAAAACAGCAATAAACCTAGAACAAAACCACGTGCAACACTAATTAATTAAAAATTAAAACATAACAAATTGAATAAAATATGATCATCATTTATCAAATTCTATCCTTAACTAAATTAATAATTTTGTTTTTGAACAAATTAAATTAATAATTATTAAATAAACATACATACTCCTATTAACATTCCCCTCATCATTTGATTTTGTAGGTTGTGCGCGTGTCACTTTCCCCCCACTCGTGTGTAAAATCACATTTCAACATTCCCTCCACAACACTACCCCCCACCTCACCTCACCTCACCTCACCTCACCCCCACTTTCCACTCTCACTCACTTTCTCTCTCTAAACTCCATTAATGGCTTCCTAGAATTTTCTCTCTCTAAATCCCACCATTTTTTCTCTCTCTAAACGTTTGTCTCATTTTCTGCTACTGCTGCATCAACAGTTTCTCTCTCATCGTCTGCGCCTTTTGTCGGGGTAAATTTTCTCTCTCTAACTCTCACAATTTCACTCTACTTTTTTTCTGAAGCTTTTGCTAAGTTTAGACATGGCAGAATCAAATTTCTGTGCTCCAAAATGCTTCCATTTCTACTTTATTGAGTTTTTATTCAAATAAAATCTGGTTGAAATCCCAAATATCTCTCATCTAGGGTTTGGTGAAGTTTCTGTTTTGGTTGATTTGTTCCTCTCTTTCCAATGCTCGTAAAACGATGCATATTTTCGATGCATAATCTCATTTTCTCTCTCTTACCTTTTCCAAAAATACGCCGTCGATTTTGAGATCTTCAGGAAGTCAAATCCTATTCTTCTACAGTAATTTTTGTTGTTTGATGTGATTTTTCTGACGCTTTTTTTTTATTTTATTTAATTGTTACTCTTCACATTAAATACTCCATTGTTTCATTTTTTCGAGGTTTCATATACTTTTATTCTCTCTCCAGTTTCTTCTTCATCAAGCTCTCATTTCTGAAGGTCTCCTTTGCTGAGTTAACTCGCTCCGAGTTACGTAGTTCACTCGATTGTTCGTTATCATTTCCACTGTTTTAACGGCGATGTGTACGTCGACGAGTACGCCTTCTTCTGGTGGTTTGCGGCAGAGAATCGCGGTTGTTACGACGGCTTTTTCGTTGCTGATGTTCCTCATTCTTCTACTTCACACTGGTACACACTATCAACTATTTTTTTTTAGATTTTTTTTAAAAATTATGGAATCATCTGTACTTTTTTTTTTTTTTAAATTTTTTTTTAATTTTTTTTTTATCACAAATTTCATTTCAAAAATTTCTTCGTCATTTATTTTTAAAAATTTGCGTTTATAGTATAATTAAGCCTTTTTTTTTTCTCTCAACTGAGTAGAATTTTGGCATCCTGATATTTTAACTTTTTATTTTAACGTCGTTTGATTTTTTTTTTTTTTTTTTTTAAATTTTTTGTTTAAATAATCTGTATTTAATTCCTCACAAATTTAATCTCAAAAAAAAAATTCTCCATTATTTTTTATTAATTATTTCGAAAAATAACGAAAAAATTTATTCGTCGACTGAAGTACAGCTAAAAACAATGGCTGTCTATGATATTTTTCTAATATTTTTGTTATATATATTTTTTTATTTATAGGGAAGAAAATCAATATCAATGGTTTTCATATGAAGAGGTTGATTTCATCCGCCATTAACGACGTTCTTCCATCTCCTCACCGGAAACTTCTAGGTACTTTCTCTCTCTTACCCTCTGTTTGTGTGTACTTTTTCGGGGTATCTGGCCTGGAAATTGTGAAATGGCGATGTGTAGTGGAAACGCATATGAACAGAGGTAAAGGGGGTGTACTAGTACTATTACTGTTAAGATTGAGTACAATATTATTTTTTTTGTCTTTGTTAGAATTTTTGTCTCATTCAAATTAATTTTATTTTGAGGATGAATTTTTGGGTTTAATCATGTTAACTTGCACCTGGTTGAATTGGATTGGGTTAAATGCTAAAATGCTGTATTTTTTCCTATTCATACAATTTTGGTATGGTTTTGAGAAACAAATATTTGGTAGGGGACCACGTGAAGTGGGGTTTTTTTTGGTAATTCTGAAATTTGTCATTTCAGGGCAATTTTGTTTTAATGGCAAATTTTTTGGATGTGCGCATGTTTAGCAATTTACGGGTAACTAATTAGGGATTTTCACTAAATTATGATATAACCCACTTTTGAACTTGGTTTTGTAGAATTGAAGAACTTTTTTTGAATCCACTATTCCCTTGTTTCTAAATGTTATTCTTACTTTGATGTTGCTAGAGATAGGTGGGAGTAGTTAGACTTGTGATTTTCGATTTGAATTTTGATTTTGTCTTATGTTTTTGATAATTGTAGTCGAGTTTAATTGGTTAGATTGTACTAATTGATTGGATCTTTGTTTTTTGTATTTCCATTTAAGCTAGTGTAATTTTGGACTTTGGGTTTAAGATATAATGATTTATATTATTCAATTTATGTACAAGTTAGTGGCGGTCACCTACAATAGTGCAATTGCTCTTCTATTTGTTCTATTTGATACAATTTCTTAGGATCTGGTTAATTTCTGATTTGAATGAGATTGTATATTTTTTATAAATTCGATTTCATGCTCCAATTAGTATGCTATTTGAATGACATTATTTCCTTGCTCTAGTAGGTGCTTGGTAAGTTGGTGGTACTACGGAATCAAAATTCATGAATTGGAAATAATTTTAGCAAACCATATAAATTGGGGAATAATAGTGATAAGCACAGTCTTTAGTTGTCGCATAAAAGATAAACCATAGTGTAGGGGACCTTACTAAATTCACTTACTCTATGATGTTTGCTTTTAGTTGATTATTTATGCTTGCCCCTGTCCCTTTCCAACCTCATATCACACTCAACAAAAAGTTAATATTGTCTCCATAATCCAAATGCATTCTATATTTCTATTAACATTAAATTTTGTTATGTTCTTTGCTTAAATGGGTGTTGTTTTTCTGCCGAAAAGTTGATTACAGTGTTACTCTTTTTTAACCCGTGTTTTGTTTCTAAATTTGGGCAGCACCTAAGAGCGTTGATAGGCCAACCCGGTTTTGGGATGATACCAACAAGTGCTCTGAGTCTGATCTTTCCGTTGGCCAAATACCCAGTGCACCATTGCCCTCGGGTATACCCACTTACACCGTTGAGATCGTGAATGTGTGCTCCTCTGGTTGTGACATTGCCCACATTCATCTCCGTTGTGGATGGTTCAGCTCTGCCTTCCCCGTCGACCCAATTCTCTTCAAGCGTATCCGTTTTGATGATTGTGTCGTCAATGCGGGCAGGATTCTAGGGAATGGGGAGTCCTTTACCTTCCAGTATGCCAATACCTACAGCTACCCTCTTTCTATTTCATCCATGACTTGCTTATAGATAATTAGATACTTGATAGCAATTAGTCTTTTTTCTTTTTGCCTAACGGAGTAGTACCTAATGTTGTCTACATTTAGGCTTGGCTTAGGCTAACTAAAGAACACCCAGCAATTATATGAAGCAACGAAGCCATAATTGTGACTCGCAAGCTCGTGCCTTATATAATTGTTGGTTGTTGATTTGCCTTCTTCATTTGTGGGTAGTTTTTCATATAATTCTTGGTATACATGAGGCTTAGAGGGAATTAGTATTGATTTTGGTAGGGAATTTTGTGATGTAATTAGTCTTAAAGTTCAAGTCTCTACCTTGGGCAATTTTTTGTGGGGGGTATATCTAGATGTATATACGAGTAATTCTCGTAGTGAAGTTTTTGCTAGTACGTTTTTGATACTAAAAGCCTAAAAGGTAAAAATATGATTTGTTCACATTATTGATGTCCTACTCATACATTGTATTAGATTTTTTTTATTTTCAATACCCATGCTGGATCTTGACCTGTGTTGTCTTGTTTGATTTTGTTAGTCATACATCCGAGTTTAGACATAAATTTTGACATATAAAGGCACAATAATAGTATAGACCGGTTGCACTATAATTAACCAAGACGGCCTTGTGCCATCTTTTATGTGTAGGGCCTAATAAGGTTCTGGACTTGAACCCAACATAATCAGCTGTATAAGGAATGAACCATAGAGGCATATGTAATTCCATTTGTTATGACTTATGAGAAAAATACCAATTTCCTGTAGTTAACTTTAGTGGTAAATGGTAGACAGAGGATGAAGGTAAAAACAACAGACAATAAATAGAAGCCAATGGACATACCCTGATGCAAAGAAGCCCTGAAAAAACTAGTGGTCCCTAGACCCTGAGTTCGGTGTTTGGTTTGGTTAGAGTTAAGTAAAGAAAAGGAAAAGCTTTATCTGTGATGCCAATGGGTTGATAGCGAAAAAGTGGAAAGTATGAGGCAGGGGACATTGGGGGAAGTGTGGTGGAAAACCAGTGTTTAATAGCCGCCAGTAGCTGTAAGCAGTGGGATGGACGGTCATCTCCACCTATTTTATTTGTCTCTCACTGTCACCTCCGTTTGACCACCCTTTCTCTTACTATCACACTCTCTCTACGGTGTACTCTTTTCATTACTTTAAAAAAAATAAAATGTAAAATTTCAATTTTTCGCATTTTAAGGATTACTCACTTGTTTCAAAAATACATTACTCCCTCCGTATTGTATTACTTTGTATTTGCTTCTCTTTTTGCGGTCGTACTTTATTACTTACTTCATTTATTTTTTTGGAAGCTTTTAACAATATTTTACTGGTATTTTTTTTCATATTCTCTCTCTTTCCATTTATGCTCACTTTTGTTTTTTTAGATTTTTTTTTTATTCTTCAACCAACTCCTCTTCCGTTATAAAATAATACTTTTTACTATTCCTCATAGAACTCCGTGTTTAGAGATATGGAGCAAGTAATAAAATACAGAAGGAGTATAAGTGTTTTGTTTATATATAATTATCAATAAATACATTGTTTGGAAAATAGACGATTTTATTATGTACAAAATATGAATAGGTCATGTTCACTTCACCTTATTTTTGCTAAACTGAAATTATTTTTACTAATTTGAAATTATTTTTGCTGAAGTGAAATTATTTTTACTGGACTTATATTAATTTTATTAAATTGAAATTAATTTTACTGAATTGAAATTATTTTTACTAAATTGAAATTATTTTTGCTGAATTGAAATTATTTTTGCTGAATTGAAATTATTTTACTGAATTGAAATTATTTGTGCTAAACTTAAATTATTTTTGCTGAATTGAAATTAATATACTGAGTTGAAATTATTTTTATTGAACTGAAATTATTTTTACTGGTTCTTTGTTATATTTTTTTCTTTAAAGTTACTGATTTTTACTAAATTAAATTTATTTTTGCTGAAATGTTTGCTGAACTGAAATTATTTTTACTGAATTGAAATTTATTTTTACTGAATATATTTTTTTTAAGATGAAGTGAACATGGGCTTAATCTTGAGATGATACTATGTGAGTCCAGATTCACTGTGAGAGAGGTATAACTTATTAAACATTTCATATAAGTTATGTAAAATCTAGACTTTTGAAATTCATTCAAATACTTTCCTCTATTTCATTAATATTGCACCAGTAGTACAAAAAACATCGCACTATATATGACCCCCAAATCATTTTCGAGAAGATACTTGGGGGTTTTATTCAAATCATTGTCCTTCACAAAGCATAATTTTCAACATTTAATTGTTAAAGCCGAACAGAAAATGAACAGTTGGTCCATCTAACACACTCTTCAAAGCCGGAAAAATTGTTTTAATTTAAAGTCAATGCCCTGTTTAGAGAGCTTTTTTTTCGGTTGTTAGTAACACTAATGAGGAAAAATATGTACACAAATATTTTTAAGGGTATAAATGTCCATATACTGTTCTTAAGAGTTAAAGAAAAAAGGTAATTAACATTAATGAGGGCAAAAAAGTAAATAAACTTTTATACGATATAATTTTCCAAATACTATTCATAATAGTTCAATCATTAAATCATACAAGTACAAGGAAAACCTTAGATGCAATTAACATCATAATTAGAGGGGTCTATAGGTAAACAAACATTTTAATAATGATATAATTGTCCTCACACTATTAATAAGTATTTTTTCATACTTTTTAAAAGGTAGAGAAAGAAGTGGTTTGATCTGTTATTAATGATGTGTTGTAGAAGTTCCATTCTAGACTAATAGCTTTGCATACATCACATTTACAAGATATTTAATGAGAAAATTAATTATGTTTTTATATGTTTATTTTAGTTTGTTTTGTTGATGCATCTGAACTCCTCTTCCTTCATGGCTTCTCATCACTTATTGCAACTCATCTCTACGAACAACGAATGTGGCACATTTACTAGTAGTTTAAAAAAGTTAGTTAAGGATTGTACAATTATGTTTGAGGCTTTAAGTAAATATTTTAAAGTATAGAGTTATTTTACAATACCTATGTGGTAATTGCATTATTTAAATTAATATTATTAATAATTTTAAATTATGAATCACTAACATGGTCAAAGTGGATTATGTGAAACATTTAAAAAGTTAAAATGGGTAGTTATTGAAATGGAGAGAGTAGAAAATACATATGGCTGGTTAGAGTGCTTTGACACGTATGTTGACTCTCTTTGTATATATATATATATACACACACATATAAGTGTGAGTAAAATACCCCAATCAATACAAACCCAATAATTCTCTTCAATTTGTGCGCTAGTGTTATTTCTCTTTCAAATATTTAAGTTTTGTCTCAACTAGAATTTTTTTTGTACAGTTGGACATCTATGTTCCATGTAACAAGAGTGTAACAAGAGTGTAATAATGACAAATATGTAGTTTACAGATTGATACATATTCTGCGTATAGATGACGCGGAAATGTTTATAAGAGAAGTCGCTTACTTTATAAATTTCTCAGATCATCAGATGATGGTCCTCAAAATCTTTCCCAACCATATATGCCCCAATTTTTGGCAATCCATTACGGTTGGCCATATCTATACAAGCCCTTTACCAAAACAAATACACTGCTATAAGCGGTGTAAAAAGATATCTTAGAACAACTTGTACCAGAGTCTTTTCTGATATACTATCTTCAAAACTCCAATCCGATTATTCAATTCAATTTATCCCATACCAAATGATTCGAATTCCTGGATCTCCAGATCCAATTTTTGGTTTCATCTACCTCAAAATTTGGCCACAAAATCATGTCTTTTCCACAAATTATGACATATTTTCGTGGATACATGCATTGGGCTACATCGAGGATGAAGAGGACCGAAGCCTATATCTGACATTTTCAAAAGGTGAAATTGTATCGGAAGATGAGGTGAGATCATTATTCACCTTAGAATTTGGAGACTGTGTCCAGCGTGTTCATATGCCAGAAATTAGGCATAGCCAACAAAATCTATTTGCTCGTGTTTCCCCGAAGTACGTCGAGACTACAGATATAATACTTAAAGGTAAAAGTCTGATCAAGTTTAAGATTAGAGGAGGAAAGCATGTTTGGGCAAAGAAATATAGATATCAAAACTCCAAAAAGTAAAGAAATTTATAATTTGAAAAGATATTGCCCGTTAATAATTGTAATGGTTTGCTTAATTTTTTTACTCTCCTATATAATGCTATTTGTATGTGTGAAAGAAGATAATTGTTTGCTATGAGTTAAAGAAACATGGTGTGTAAACCATCAATTTTCTAGTAAATAAAATATATTAATTACAGAAAAAATAAATAAATAAATAAATAAATTGCGGAAGTATTAATTTAAAGGAGAGATCACTGCCACACTTAACCACAATGTCAAATTTTAAGGCTTACAAAATCACATGATCAACTTGCTTAATCAATCTTGAATGCCCACCATTATTTACAATTGTAATAAATGGATCGTCATGGGGCCACCAAAAGAAAAGGCATGGTCGCAAATAAAATAACCCAATATCCGCAATATGTCTTCACCATGTTGAGTAATCGTCACTTAATGTGGGTGGTTTTTAGAATCATATTAATGCATAGTTTTCAAATATCAACTTAATTATATACTTATTGAAATTTAAAATATTATTAGTCAAAGTTATACATACGCATACGTACCTAATCAAACTGGGGGATTTATTTTGAAAGGGAGTATTAAAACAATATTTTCATTTGCAAAACCATTTTCTATAAAGAAAAACTATGATCAAATTAATGAGAATTAATTATCTTGGGATTTGTTTGATCTTTTCATTTAATATACTTCATCCATTCTAGTAATATTACAACAATTACAACAAAGATAAAATCATGCATATCAAAGCACAAATTATTCAGTAATTATCTATATATATACTTGGTATTTTTTTGTAATTTACTTCTTTGGTACATAATTATTCAAACTGTTACATTTATATGATTTACTTCTAAACTGCTATGATTTCCATAACCGTATATATATATATATATATATATTTTAATACTTGTTCACTACATACAGATACAGATATATAGAAGAATAATTTACATACATAATTTATAATTTTTGAAGATTTAATATAATAAAAGAATTTGTTTGCCAAAATTTCTAACTTAAAGATTAGTTCTACCAAATATATAGGTCAATTGAACCTTAGAGGATCATACTGTAGAATTATGATAAACTAAAATATGTTTATGTTTCCTCTCTACACGACCGTTCTGTGAGGGGTACCCACACATGATGTTTGAAATAAAATCCCTATGGCGCTGAAATAGTCAAGTAAACAATTAAACTCTGTCCCATTATCACTTTGGACAACTTTAATTGTTTGGAAAAATTGTCTATCAACCATGGCAACAAAGGACATAAACATTCGGAAAACTTTCAATTTATCTACTAAGAGGCTGTTTAGTTCACCTGATTTTAGCTGATCTGATCTGATCTGAACTTATTTTTTCTGATCTGATCTGAACTTATTTTTCCTGATCTGATCTGATCTGAACTTATTTTTTCTGATCTGATCTGATCTGAACTTATTTTTTCTGATCTGATCTGAACTTATTTTTTCTGATCTGATCTGATCTGAACTTATTTTTTCTGAAATAAGTAAAAATAAGGTGAACTAAACAGGGCCTAACAAATAGATCCACATAGCTCTTGAAAAATCATCAACGATAGTTAAAAAATAACGAGCTCCACATGACGAAGCATGTCGGTATGGACCCCACAAATCACAATGAATTTTCTCAAATATTCTAGAAGCTTTATTTTCGCTCAAAGAAAATTTATTTCTCGGATGCCTAATATACAAACAAACTTCACAACCGATGTCTATATGATCTTTATTACTACTAACATGAGGAATTAACTTAACTACTTTTTCAGAGGGATGACCAAGGCGACGATGCCATAATTCCAAGTTTGACGTAGCGTCCACCAGTGACACAAACTCTGGTTTGCTAAAGTAGTATAGTCCATCTCTTCTAGTTCCCGTTCCAATCAGCTTCTTCATTTGGTCCTGTATAGCACAAACATTAGAATCGAATTGGACAAGCAATAGTGTGTAAATCATCATTAAGTTGAGAGACAGAAAGTAAATTGCAATTCAAGCTTGGAACATAAAGAACTCTGGTGAGAGTTATTTTATCCGACAATTTCACGGAACCCATCAAAGTAGCTACTACTTTTGCGACATTCGGTAATCCAATAGGGTAATCAAAATTTTGAGTGTCAAATAGCCAGGAACTATTTCCAGTGACGTGATGAGTCGCATCGGTGTCGATAATTCAAGAAGAGATATCGAACTTACCGGTCAAACGATTTTCTGGAATTTGAGAATTACCAATGAGGCCTGCGATGGCCTTCCATTGTTCCGGTGTGAAGAGATGCCCAAAGGATGAATTGAAAGAAGAGGACAGAGTGGCAGCCGCATTAGCACGAGCTTGTCCACGTCCCTGCCCCTGTTTCTTGTTCTCGGGCCTACCCACAAGGTCATAGCAATGACTCTCTAGATGCCCCTTTTTTCTTACAAAAGCCACAAGTGATGTTCGCCCAACAATTAACGGCGTCATGCCCAGTTCTCCGGCACATAGTGCATGCCGGTTTATCAGAATTCCGGCCTTTACCACGAGCTGTTCCTGCTGCCGCCTCCAGCCCTGTACGCACAGCGAAACCGACAGCCTTAGTGGCCATGGAATCGTTTTCCGGTTTGGCTGAGCGAACACGCTCTTCTTGAACTACCAACTGGTATGCTCGATCTATGCTAGGAAGAGGATCCTGAGATAGAATCTGGGTTCGCAAAGACGAGTAAAAATCAGGATGCAGCCCCATTAGATATTCGTGTAATCGGGATTGAGATCGGCGTTCTTCGTGCAGTTTTTTGGCGGTACACGACGCACAATAGGAACACGAAATCAGAGGTTCGTGTCTATCTAACTCCTGCCACAGAGTATGTAATTTTCCGTAGTACTCAGAAACGGACATTAGCTTGGTTTGTTCACACCGCGTAATCAAAGAACGGAGCTGTTGAATGCGAGGGCCATTGGTCTGAGCAAACCGGTGTTTAAGATGGTCCCAGAGAGATTTCGCCTCCCTGAATTTGGACAAGGTGGATTTTAAATTGGGATCTATGGTATTGGTGATCCTTGAGATGAGCATAGTGTTGATTGCCGTCCAATCGGACTTCGTACATGGGGTGATGGGGTAATAATCGAACTATCTAAGAAATCAAACTTTCTACGAGCTTCTAGAGCTGTTTGAATGTCGGCAGCCCAAGAATCATAATTGTCTGTTGTAAGGCGGGTAGGGGTGATGAAATCCCCCGGTCGGTCTTGCGAACCGAGGTAGTACGGTGAGTTGGGTTCAATTTTCGGAGGTGGTGGAGGTGGTGTTTCATCACCGCCAGCCATGGCTATTGATTAGCGAAGAAAAGAAAAATTTAGGCTTGATACCATGTAGAATTATGATAAACTTTAGCTTAATTCTCATTAACACACAAGTCAATTTATAATACAAGCAATCAAGTTTCCTTCCCTATATCAAACAAGATAAAATATATCCTAAAACTAAATATATTATCCAAATCTAAATATTATCTTAATATTCCCTAAGTATATCTTAATACATACATATCTTTTAGTTCAAACTTTAGAATATGAAACTACTTTAAATTAAGTAGGTAAATAAAAAAAAAAATAAAAAAATTGATGGATTTTCCGTGATATGTTTCTAAATTTCAAATTTGTTTTTTTAACAAACACATTTCTTTTCGAATTTTACAGTCTATCATATAAATGTTAATGTACAAAAATCAATATACAGATTGCATGATGTTCTCTTATCTTAAATAGTTGTGTCATCTTTATAAGGATTCCAAGACTTGCCATATCAGTACTAATATTTTAAAATAGGAAATTGGAAGGACACTTGTCCTCTTCTTGTTTTTCCTGTTTTAATTTTTTTTTATCTTGATTTTTTTTCCCTTTTTGTTAATAATTTTTTTTTTTACAAAAAATTCAATAAATAGTTGCTTCTACCCTTTTTTTTTTACATCCCAATTTCTAAATATATTAATCATGTCTTTTCCCTAATATCAATGAAGCATTATAATTCACTTTTTTTTTTCTTTTCATTTTCACCTATTATTTCTTTTCCCATTGTTCATCTTTGGTTTCTTTAATAGTCTGTTCACCATTCCCATATGTTTTAATTTTCAATTCCCTCAAAAAAAAAAAATATTAATTATATTCCCTTTGCGTCTCTTGGTAAATTTCAATATAATATTTTACCATTATGTTGAAAATTAGTTTATTTTCCCTTCTCTCACCATCTCCTCTTTGTTTCTTCTTTCTCTCAATTATTCCTCTCTTTCGCCCTACATATATCTAATAAACTTGAAGAACAAAATGGTAGTGTTGAAGCACTCAAAGGTAAATTTTCTCAATTTTGTTTACAATTCATTTTTAACTTTTTTTTTTCCCAAATTTGTTTTTGATTTTTTCCTTTGGCAATTATACGTTTAATATTTTTTTTAACAAATTGTCCTTTATATTTTTGTGTGATTCTTTTTTGGAATAGAAGATCTGTATAATTTTGTTGAATTTTATAAAGATTTTTATTTGCTTTCAATAATATACAATATTTTTAATTTTCGTTATATTTCATATTTCCTAAATATTAAGATCCTGTTTTTTATTTTTATATTGATTTTCAAAAATTTGTTTTTGAAATTTATTTACACTTTCAATAATATTCAATATTTTAAAATTACTTTATAAGTACTTTATTTTTCCTATACATTAAGATCCTGTTTTTTTTTTATATTGTTTTTAAAAATTCGTTTTCAAATTTTTAATCAACTTTAAAAGAAAAATTATTTTTTGGAATTTTATTTAGGTTTTTATAAGGATCTGTATTTTGTATGTATTTTAAATTTGATATATTTTTTTCCTTACGGTATTTTTTTTCCCAAATTTGTTTTTGAAAATTCATTTTTTTATTCTTATTTTTTTGTGAAATTTGTTTTTATTTATTTTAGTATGAATATACCATTTTTCAAAGATTTTAATAATTTTTTATTTTCATTGTTTACAGACTTGCTTTTTTTTTTTTTTTTTTTTTTAATTTTCTTTTAGAAAATCTTTTAACTTCAACTTTGCTTGTGGTTTTCATTTAGGATTTTTTAACATTGTTCTTGTAAAATTTTGAATTAGATCTACTAAACCATTTTTTTTAATTAGGATAGTTTTTTAATTTACGATTGAAAATTGATTTTGATTTTATTTTTACAGTTTTTTTAAATGTTATTTTGATTTTTTTTTAAAAAAATTTCCGATCTTATCTTAACGTTTGTTTATGAGTTGATAAAATTCATATTTGGCTTATCTTTATTTTTTGATCATTTATTTCTTTTCCATTTTTTATTTATTGGTTTGGATTT